GCCTCCGCCCCCCCCCCCCAGATCGGCTGAGGTGGAAATTGAGGTCTCCCTGGATCTGTGGTGGTCTCTTCATTCCTTCCTGCCCTCCAAGCCCTCTGAGCCTCCCCCTCTCAGAGAGAGAAGTCCGAGCAATCCGGCTTTTTCTCCTCCTTCCTGGCTTCCTCCCTTCGGTTCCTCTCCCTACCTTCTTTTCTCAGCCGATGAGAAACCAGGTGGGTATCCGCTGGAGGCTCCCGGACGTCAGAGACCTGGGTTCAGTCTGTTTCTGGGAAACACTGGGGAGGGCAGCGCATCAGCTCTTTGGGGTCCTACCTTGCAGGTGGGGCAGGGGGCTGCTCCTCTTCAAGGGTCGCTTGCCAACAGGCGCAGAGGCACCTCCTCAGACGCTGGCAGAGAGAAAGAAGGGCCAGAAATCTGAGTTGAAGATAAGAATAAGAATAGCAGCAGCAACAACAACAACAACAACAACAGCCAAGATCTGAAGGGGTCCACTTGCTGGAGAGCATTAAAAATTACTACTAAAGATCCCTCTGGATGGAGAGGTGACCCTTTTGTATCAATGAGGAGATTTTAGGTTCTCCTAATTTTATCTCTCAGTCTCTCCCTCTCCATTTTTAATTTTTTTTGGGGGGGGGGTGTTCTGACGTTTGTTTCCTAGGTTTATTTTTCAATTAAAAATGATTTTTTAAACATTTTAACAAATGAATGAATTTGGGGAAGCAAGAGCCACGCCACAAAGCCCCCCTCCAAGCAAGAAGGCCAAACTCCCCCCCCTTCGGCAGCCGGTCACTCAGAGAAGCCTTGTGGGGGGGGGTGTCCTTCAGCCAGGAGGTCCCTTTGAGGGGAAAGAGAGGAAGGGGGGCTTTGCTGACTCGAGGAACCCCTTTCCCAGATGAGAGAAAAGTGGCTGCAAAGTTGGAGGGGCCAAAGGCATCCTCAGGAAAATTAATGGGCGGATGTTTGCTTTTCTTTGGCTCTGGTGGGGGGGGCGGTTGTTGAGAAAGCTGCCTTTCCATTTCTCGGGGACCCCAGGACCAAGGAGCAGGTTGGGGATCAGATCCCCCCCTCTGAGTTCCCAGAAAGGAGCAAAGCGACACCCAAGGGGGGTGCTGCCATTTCCCCTCTCCTTCAGGGCTGTCTCTCTGCTGGCCGGGGGACGGGAGCAAAAAAGGGAGGGCCCTGGCCCAGCCCTCCCGCCTGCCCCACAACCCCTCCTGGACTGTTACCCGGAACACATGAATGATTCCCCTTGATGCCATCGCCGGGGCTAAATGCTCCTTTGGCCGAAAAGCGAGTCACCAAGAGAGGATCCCTGAGAGAGACCTCCCTTGGTGACCCTGCCTTGAGCACAAATGACCGTTGGCCCCGGGCCGGCTCGGAACCCTGTCGCAGGCAAGAAACCACCGGTTGTTGAATACAAACACATCTCAGCTCCCAAAGGGCTTCAGGGGTGTGGATGCCAGTGGGGCTGCCAACT